TCCTCCGTCTCCCACTGCTGCAGCTGCCACTGAGGGGGGTGGGTGTGTGGGAGACGAAGGAGTGGTGCTAGGGGGGTGTGTCATTGGAGTGAAACTAGGGGTGCAGCAGGGGGTGTGAACGCGAGTTTTGGGACAGTTAGGGGGAGGTTGGGCGGAGGCAGCCGTCGTGTAGCCAGCAGCGCCAGTAGCCCGGAGGCTACAATCTCAGGTAGCCCAACGAGCCTGCTGCGCCAGTCGCCCGTGGGTCCGTTGCTCCTGCCGCTCAGAGTTAGCCGCAGAGCCAGTTACTCCAGTAGTCCGGAGGCTACAATCTCCAGTAGCCACAATGCGCGCCGCTCCTGTTGCCCGTGTATCTGCGGCTTCACCCGTCGCCTCCTATCTCCACTCCTCTCACAGTCCCTCCTCCTCCTCACTTACCCTCTGTGACTGCCTCTAGCTTTACTTATATTTGTGAACTATTGCTCTGCTTGCTAATTGTGCTGATTACACCCCACTTTGGCTATGGGGGTGTGTCAGAATGTTATATTTGTCTAGCCTGCAGTGGGGTACTCAATAGCGAGTACAGCCCAATTTAGGGTTTGCTATATGTACTCAACTGCCTGCTAGTGAAAACCCCCCTTCTCTGTTCCATTCCTTCCTTCACTATCTTGACATTGCTGTGTCCCGGGCTCTAATTCTATTCGGTGATCGTGCGCCCGTTGAGGTGGCAGTCCCTCTGGTAAGTCATCGAGGAAGATCCCCGGGAATCGTTTCAACAGTTCCTGTAGTTCCCATGGTACTGCCGCCAGTAGATTCTGAAAATCACTCGGTTTGTCCGCTTCTTCCACTATCGCGATATCCACCGCGTACACGTCAGCTCCAGCGGCGACAGCCCGTTTCATCGTGATGGCGTTGACGTGGACCGTTGAAGACTCAGGCGACTGCCAGCAAGGTAGTTCCACCCAGTTACCGCTACTTCGCACAGTGCAGCTGCCCGTCGTCCAGTCGATTCGCGGGTTATATCGTCGCAGCCAATCACGTCCCAGTAAAATGTCGTGCCCATCCAATGTCGTCGCGAGCATTTCCTGTGTAAACCCAAAGTTCCCCCCACAGCGGACTTTTACTCTTTCCACTTTCTCCCGTATGGCCAGCGGCGTCCCGTCAACTAAGCGTGCATCGATCTCTGGTAAGCACCGACTAAGTGTCAGTTGCAGCTTCCTTGCAGTCGCGGTATTAACTAAGCTGTGACTTGCACATCCGTCTATAAAAATCTTCACTGCTGCTCCCTGTATTTTCCCGTGAATCAGTACTGGGCAATCCGTCGCTGTACCCTCCTTATTCGTCCGAGCCCGATCGATAGCGTGAATCGGTACTGTGACTCGGTGAGGGTCGGTGAAGTTGGGCGAGCAGGCAGTCTCGTCAGTAGTTGGCCCAACATCTACTGACTGCTGGCGTTTCCCGGCCTCTGAGACTCTCGCCCCTGCTCTGTTCCGCGGCGCCTCAGCTCCTCTGGGCATTCACTCTTGCGATGGCCCGGCCTATTGCAAGCGAAGCAACGCCCCTTAAACGGTGCGGCAGCTGCATTCGTCGCAACGGCGTGTACGGTGGCGTGCTCGATCGGTCCCCGAGGACGTTGTCCGTAGTAGGACCCCGGTCTCGGTCGTCGTAGGATGTCGATTTTCTCGGCGAGCGTGAGGATCTTGTTGAAATTCGAGAGCCCGCGTAGCATAATTTTGTGCGATATGTCCGGCTTTAGCCCTCCGACGTAACGGTCCACCCGCTTCGCTTCGTGCATATAGCCGACTTGTTCGCATAGTGCGAGAAAGCCGCTAGTGTAATCTTGAACCGACCCGAGCTGCCGCCAAGTGCGCAGCTTCTGACGCGCCGAAATCGAAGCCGCGATCGGCTCGAAACGCGCCCGAAGCCCTGCGCACCACGCATCCCACGTGCTGTACTGGGCTGTCTCGCAGAATGAACTCCAGGTGACGGCTAGGCCCGTGGGCCCGTCTTCTTGCGACGGTGGCTCGTAGGCGCGTGGCGACGTCACGATGACTCGCCACCAATCCATGGCAGGGCCCCTCAGCAGCGAAACAGCGTAGCGAATCTTCGCTGCATCCGACTCGACGTAATTGGCGTCGAAAAACACATTCATCCTGAAGACCCACGACTGAACCGTCGGACCCCCACGTTGTCTCGGGTCAAAATAGGGCGGACGTTGCGGCTTGAGTGGCATTGGTGCCGTGACGGCGTATTCGCCATTTGTCACCGCAAATTCCACGTGCCGACGGGACTCGCGGGGCTCCCGTGGGCTTGGTGTGGTCCTGTTTCTCTCCATGCCAGGCATTGAGTGAGCGGCGCCCTCACTGGCTGCGCCTGAGCGCTGTCCCACACTGTCGTTCTGTGTTGGTGTGCCGGAGGAGATGACAATCGGCTCCTCCGAATGTGCAGGTGCATGTGTTGGTGCTGGTGCGTTCACTGTCGATTGTTGGCGAGCGGAGTCACGTTCCGCCGTGAGTGTGGCGATTTCAAGCGCCGATTCTTCGAGTTGGCGCATGAGTCGGTCTAATTGCTCCTGTGTCAGTGTCGCGACATTAAGTTCTGCCATGGCGGGGGTGTCGGGCAAGCTCAGCGAGAGCCTCTGTCGTGGCCGTGCGTGCTTACGAGGGAGCACTACGAGCGGCGGTGCTTGATCGCTGAGAGACGTATACCCCCCCAAAAAAAAATGATAGTGGGGAAGCGAAGGTGTGGGTGCGGTCCGAGAGAAGATCGTAGGCTCTGATAACCGAGTGTTACGAGTGCAATTGAGTGAGCGAGCGAGGATTGCACTATCGAGACAAGATACAATGAACGAACGAATGAGCGAAGGATATATAGCGAAACTACGGTGGTAACGGTAACGTGGGAAAATGGGGTGCGCGACGGGCCTAATGCCGAGGTTTGGGGAACTGTCGAGGCGGAGGTGTCAGTAGATCTGCACTGTGTATGCCTGATTGATCCTAGGGGGGCTACAGGCGCGTTCGCCTGGGGGGTTATGGGCGCACAAACCCGCTACACAAACAAGCCCTTTTATCCCAATGGTCTAGTGGTTGGGATTCTGACATGGTATCAGAGCGGTCTCGGGTTCGAATCCCGGTGTATGCACATGTAGGCCGTTGCCGCTGTGCTCAGTCCTGGGCCTCCCAGTGTGGGGGGGTGTCAGTAGATCTGCACTGTGGATGCCCGATTGATCTTAGGGGGGCTACAGGCGCGTTCGCCTGGGGGGTTATGGGCGCACAAACCCGCTACACAAACAAGCCATTTTATCCCAATGGTCTAGTGGTTGGGATTCTGACAGGAGGTCCGGAGCGCGGGTTACCAATCGAACCATGAGGTTGGGTCGCATCGTGAACAGTGGCGGGAAGGGTGTCGAGGCGAATGTCGCGAGTGGTAACGGAATATTGTGGGATGCTGTCAGTGTTGTACACGCTGAGCAGGGACGCGAAGTAAGGAAAAGGAATTTTCCTTACAGGTATGCAGGGTGACGCAAAGTAAGGAAAAGTTGACTCCTTATTGTGGCAAGATAACTCACCTAAAGCTCCATATATTGTTGAGTGGATCACCTGCTCACTAGTGTAGTTCTGTTTATTTCAAAATAATTTGCCTGTAGTGGAGCCACCAGCCTGGATCTGCTGCTGAGCCTAGAAATGCTCAAAACCTTACTCAACCGCTCCCACTTAATAACGAAACGATTCAAAACGCTAAGACACCACCAAAGCTAACTCTTTCTCCAGGCCCCTACCACAAAATTGTTTTTGAGACCGCTTTTAAAAGTTGACCAGAGGGAGTTTTTCTGGTGTGGGCTTTGGCGAGAGTTTCCGATTTCGTCTAGGTTCGTTTTTTTCGCGAGACCCAGCCAACCCTCGGTTTTCCCCCTGGTGAGTGAATCTGTCTTCGAAAGTCCCAAATTGCGAGTGCGTGACTTTCAAAAGCTTGGACACTCAACTTCGTCAAGTTTTAAAAAGTTGACCCTCGCGGCCCGCAATTTGGGACGCGGGCTTTAAATAATCGCGAATTCGCGCGATTCGAGACAGGCATGAGCAACGCGGTGCTCGCGAATATCCGCGCTGCTCGGGCTTTCGTTCGAAGGTCCGAGATTCCGTATCCGGGAGGCCGAGCGAGGCGTTTGAATACGGAATTCGGAATCCAGTTTTGAGACGTCTCAAAACTCGAATACGGAACAGACTCTCGTCCGAGATTCCGTATCCGGGAGGCCGAGCGAGCGAGGCGTTCGAAATGGCGAAGAGTATTTTCCAGGCCGCGGCAACCCTGACGAGAGCACTCAATCACGGATGTACTAAAATTAGTAGCACTAAATCCAGAAGCATTTACTGTAGCAGCTTTACTGCCAAAGGAGTGAGCGCTTTCGCACGCGCAGGAGAGACCGCAGTACTCGCGCGATCGGGTCAATCAGGGACTCAGAAATTGTCGCATGAGTGGCTTCGTAGATCAAAAGCGGGTCATATAGTAGCCACTTCACGACAAGATGTATCAATACCCGCCTTAGGCGGAAAGGCTTTAAGTTGCTCCACATCCCAGCCCTTCGTTTCCTCCTCCGCCGCCGTTCCCGCCGTATTTTCCGGCAATGCTTCCGTCGGCTGTTTCCCCGGCGATTCTTCCGTATTTCCCGCCGCCTTTGTCTCTGGTAGAAGTTTTGACTTCGGCATAGGAGTTCCCGCGAATCACGGCGCGAGAAGATGCGCCAGCCAATCTGAAGATGCCACGCAAGCGCCGCTGTCGTCATCACCGTCTTCGTCCTCGTCAGCAGCGCCATCAGCAGGAGCAGCAGATACAATGGCAGCAGGAGCAGCAGAAGCAGCAGCATCGTCAGCATCATTGTCAGCAGCAGTCGCGACGGCAGCGGGCGGCCCGAGATGCCCGCCGATTTTCGAGCTGCGCACGTACCGCATAGTCCCCGGCGAGTTAAAGACCTATTTAGACGCGACGCGGCGATTCGCGGCGCTGCGGAAAGAGCTGAGCCCCGGATGGCGCGGGTAGGCGGCACGGGGGGGAATGGGGTAAACGGGAGGAAGGGGGGAATGGGGAAAGGGCTGAGGGCGCGGGTAGGTGGCAGAAAGGAGGGGGGTGGAGGAGGGAGGGGGGGAGAGGGGGGAGGAGGGGGAAGGGATGGAAGGGGGGGAGGAGGGGTAGGCGGGGAAGGCGTTAATAAGAAGGCGGGGAAGCGGGGTAGGCGGGGAAGGAGGGGGAGACAGCAGAAAAAAGGGTGGGGAGGGAGAGGGGGGAAGTAAGGGGGGATGGAAGATGGGGGATTAGGCGGTAGGGGGAATTGGGGAGCGATGCGAGGTTGTGTTCGGTTGGAGTGATTAAGAGGGATGGTACACGGTCATGGGGGATGAATTGTGAGGGGGATCATTTCTCGGGTAGTGCTTGGACACTGGTGTGTTGACAATGGCTTCCCTTTGAACCTTTACTTACCTCTCCCCTCCTCTCCCCTTCCCTCCCCTCCGCTTCCCCTCCCCTCCCCTCCCTCCGCTTCCCCTCCCCTCCCCTCCGCTTCCCCTCCCCTCCCCTCCGCTTCCCCTCCCCTCCCCTCCCTCCTCTTTCCTCCTTTCCTCTCCCCGCTGCATCCCCTCCTCCCTCACCCATGAGTTTTTAGAAGGTGGAGACTGGGGGGGTGCTGAACGAGTCTCATCACTTGTGAACCGCAACCAAACGCCTCTGATGTAACCTGGTTACCAGCTATTCCATCCTCCACGTCACTCCTCCCCCTGCCTCTCCCATCGCATCAGTTTTTGGAAGGTGGAGACTGGGGGGGCTGCTGAACGAGGCTCATCACCTGTGACCCCAACCAAACGCCTTTCTCGTAACCTGGTTACCTGCTATCTTCGTCCTTTACTCCCCTCCTCCCCCCACCTCTTCTTCCCGGTCAGCTTTCGGATGGTGGAGACTCGGGGGGTGCTGAATGAGGAGCATCAATCCTCCTCTTCTCTTCACTCCTCTGTACCTCTCCCCTCCTCCCTCGCCCATCAGTTTTTGGACCGTTGAGACTGACGGAGTGCTGAACGAGGTGCACCACCTTTCCCCTTCTCTCTGCTCCTCTCCAACCCCCCCCACTGCTGTACACTCCTCTCCACTCCTCTCGACTCCTCGTCTACCCCAATTCCGTCAGCTTTTGGACCGTTGAGACTGGCGGAGTGCTGAACGAGGTGCATCACTTCTACTGTTACCCTGGTAATTAGTTCTGTTGTTCCCTAGTAACCATTTTTGTTGCTACCCTGGTAACCACTTCCACTGCTACCCTGGTAATTGTTTCTGTTGTTTCCTAGTAATCGCCTCTAATCTTACCTTGGTGACTATTCTTACTGTTGGATGGTTACCACTTGCTCACTTACTCTTGTAACCACTTCCTGTTGCTCCTTAACTATATGTGCCTCTACTTTGGTAACCGTGTTTACATTCATTCTTATCTGCAGATGGTTACCCCGTTTACGCTGGTAACCATGTTTGCCTTCATTCCTGTTTACCACCCCGGAACCTCCTCTCCCCCCTGCTTCCCCTCCCCACACTCCACACACACTCACACGCAGGCGGGTGAGACCAGTATGGCTCTTACGCTCAACCCTGTTTTCCCTCTTCCCCCTTTCTCCCCCCTCCCCACCCCACTCCCCACAGGTGGGTGGGAGGAGAGGGACGCAGTGAGAGCAGGCATGGGCGGGCAGCAGGGGGTGGACTCATAACAGCTTAAGAAGTAGGAAGGACTTAGAACCACCTTCCTCCCCCTTCCCCCTTGACGCACACAGGTGGGTGGGAGGAGAGGGATGCAGTGAGAGCAGGCATGGTGGGCAGCAGGGGGTGGTCTCATGAGTACCTGCCTCTGGTGAAGCCAGCATTCCAATCGCAGGTAAGGCCGTGAGGGGGCATTAGAGAGAACCCACTCACCAGGGTGGTTGAGTGGATAGGATTCCCGACTCACTTCAATACGCAGCAGGCATGGGGAACAGCAGCGAGTGGACTCAGGAGTACCTCCCTCTTGTAAAGCCTGCGTTTCAGTCACTGGTGACGATGCAGTCGACTTGACTGTTCTTTTGCCATACTTGTTGGGCCTTGTCCGATTCTCCCCTGTAATCCTTCCATCTGTTGCAGCTGGGATAGTTTGGGTAGCTGGCTTTTGAGAATTCTCAAAAGTTGCAGCTGGGATAGTTTGGGTAGCCGGGCAAGCTGGGATAGTTTGGGTAGCTGGGCAAGCTGGGATAGTTTGGGTAGCTGGGCAAGCTGGGATAGTTTGGGTAGCCGGGCAAGCTGGGATAGTTTGGGTAGCCGGGCAAGCTGGGATAGTTTGGGTAGCTGGGCAAGCTGGGATAGTTTGGGTAGCCGGGCAAGCTGGGATAGTTTGGGTAGCTGGGCAAGCTGGGATAGTTTGGGTAGCCGGGCAAGCTGGGATAGTTTTGGTAGGTGGGCAAGCTGGGATAGTTTGGGTAGCCGGGCAAGCTGGGATAGTTTGGGTAGCCGGGCAAGCTGGGATAGTTTGGGTAGCTGGGCAAGCTGGGATAGTTTGGGTAGCCGGGCAAGCTGGGATAGTTTGGGTAGCCGGGCAAGCTGGGATAGTTTGGGTAGCCGGGCAAGCTGGGATAGTTTGGGTAGCTGGGCAAGCTGGGATAGTTTGGGTAGCCGGGCAAGCTGGGATAGTTTGGGTAGCTGGGCAAGCTGGGATAGTTTGGGTAGCCGGGCAAGCTGGGATAGTTTGGGTAGCCGGGCAAGCTGGGATAGTTTGGGTAGCTGGGCAAGCTGGGATAGTTTGGGTAGCCGGGCAAGCTGGGATAGTTTGGGTAGCTGGGCAAGCTGGGATAGTTTGGGTAGCTGGGCAAGCTGGGATAGTTTGGGTAGCCGGGCAAGCTGGGATAGTTTGGGTAGCTGGGCAAGCTGGGATAGTTTGGGTAGCTGGGCAAGCTGGGATAGTTTGGGTAGCTGGGCAAGCTGGGATAGTTTGGGTAGCTGGGCAAGCTGGGATAGTTTGGGTAGCTGGGCAAGCTGGGATAGTTTGGGTAGCTGGGCAAGCTGGGATAGTTTGGGTAGCCGGGCAAGCTGGGATAGTTTGGGTAGCCGGGCAAGCTGGGATAGTTTGGGTAGCTGGGCAAGCTGGGATAGTTTGGGTAGCTGGGCAAGCTGGGATAGTTTGGGTAGCCGGGCAAGCTGGGATAGTTTGGGTAGCCGGGCAAGCTGGGATAGTTTGGGTAGCCGGGCAAGCTGGGATAGTTTGGGTAGCCGGGCAAGCTTGGGTTTACTGTGACTCATTCGCCGCCGCTCATTGTCATTTATCTTTCTCTCGCTCGACTTTTGGGTTAAAAAAGCCCTCAAACGGTTGTTGTTCTGGATCAATTGTGGCTGATGTGGCTGTGACTCTTACGACTGTGGAGGTGCCTACAGAAATTGTCTTTTGAGGGGCCTCGCAAGTGTAGTTGCTGTGGCTGTGGCTGTGGCTTTTGATTCTGGCTGGAGTGAAGAAAAATCGTCTCTTGGCCTCCAGCCAAGAAGCATATGGAGTGTCCCCTCGTCTTTTCTTCTTCCCCCGTTTTCTCTCATATGCTTCTGGGCTGTAGGAATCGAGCATTTTCCTGGAAGATTCCAAGTGCATGGCTGCAGTGGCAGAGGCTGCAGCAAGCTCTTCAACCTCTTTCTCCGCTTCACCACCATCAGTATCGCCTTCACCACCAGCACCACTTGAACCATCACCAGCATCCCCCGGGGTGTATGAGCTGCGTTGCTACAAGGCACGAGGGGAGCCTGAGAGCCCTAGCACTACTCACAGCATCCAGGAAACATTTTCTTTAACGTAAGTAACGTTAGGAAGGAGTCAGCACACGTACCACCACCACCATTAGAGCTGCATTGTTACAGGGGACACGGCGGGCCCTGGAGCTCGACTACCACCAGTCACCTTTTGAGTTGACTTCAAAGTCACCGACTCAAAAGTAACCGACTCAAAAGTCATCGACTCAAAAGTCACCGACTCAAAAGTCACCGACTCAAAAGTCACCTCGCAGCGGGCCCTGGAGCTCGGTTACCAGTCACAGCATCCAGGTAATGTTTTTGAGACATCTCAACTCAAAAACTCACTCATTTCACAGTACCAATCACCGCATCCAAGAATCGTTTTCTATAAAGTAAGTAGCTTCATCACCATCATCAACCCCAACCATCACCACCACCATCATTCCCACCACCACCGTCCCCCGGCTCGTATGAGCTGCGATGCTTCATACGATGCTTCAAGGGACAAGCATTGTATCCACCCTCTATCTGCCTCTTCTGTTAGAATTATATTATAGCATGCTAAGCCTTTTGTGACTGTACACCAAGTGTGGTGTACAGTTGGGTTGGGACTACACCCAACTTTGGGTGTAGTCTTGCATTGTGGGGTGCCAATCCAACCCACTTGTGGTGGAGCCCCCAAATGCAACCCATTGGTCCTTAGGGTGCCAACATTTGAGGAATGTTGCCAACCCAACCCAATGGGCCATAGGTTGGCAACACTTCCCCAAATGTTGCCAACCCAACCCAATGGGCCACAGGGTTGGTCCCAATTGCAAGTTTTGGTGCCCTTCCACCCCACTTGGGATAGGGCTTCTCAACTACCACCATCCAGCTCTCTTCCCTTCCAAGCTCCCCTTCCAAGCTTACCCTCCAATCACTATGTATGCTCCTTTTCTCATTCTAATGAAACAACTCTTGAGTTCACATCTCATCCCAACTATGGTATTGTCACATCTTCATCCCTCAATTGTTGCATCTCTTCCTTCCTCTCCCGGGCACTCCTGCCCCGCCCTTCCCGGTCCTGCCTTTCTCTCCCTCTCGCTCCCTCCCTGTCCGCCTCTCCCTCTCGCTCCTGCCCTGCCCTTCCCCTCTCTCACAGCCTCTCTGCACGCATGGTGGCTGTTCCATCCTCTCGCTGCCTCTTTATTGGCTGCTCTGATGCCGGGTAACGTTCTCCTCTGCAATGTTTCTTAGTTGACTCCGAAATTGCTGGGTGCAAGTTTGCACTTCCACAACTCTCGACTCGCCTGGTCCCTCCTCTTGCTGCCAATTTATTGGCTGCTCTGCTGCTGGGTAACATTCCACACTCTTACCTGTCACACTTGTGAAATGTGCTTTTCCAGGGTCGTGCTCATGGAATTTGATTATCTTACTATCAGCTTGTTACAAATGCTCTTTTTCGAGCTGTCACACACATTAAATGTTCTTTTCGACCCGTTCTATGCCTAGTTAGGAGCTTCTTTGATGCCAAACTGTGTTCCAGAAGACGCGTCCTGCGTCTAGGACGCAATGCGTCTAGGACGCAGTGCGTCTAGACGCTGCGTCCAGGATGCAAGACGCTTGAGTAGGCCTTTTAGACGCTGAAAAAGACGCATGCCCGGGCAGGCTAAAAAAAAAGATCGGGCAGCACAAGAAAACCCCAATGGGGCATTGGGGGGGGGGGGGGGTAGCATCGTCATGCTTGGTAGCGGAGGAGGAAGAACTAGGAGAAGCCATAAGTGAGGAAAGAACTAAACCCCCAAGGGTTTTCCATGGAGAATTGGGTTGAACTAAAGAGGAGCACAAATGAAGCATTTGTGCTCCTAAATCCTCTTGGTGGTAAGCAACATTGGTTTGGTTGAGTAGATGCTGTGCGGTTGAGTAGGATGCGTTTCAATTTTGGTTAGGGGGGGTTTTCGTGGGATTTCACGATTTCGACATTCGCGTCGAAATCGCGAAAGGCAATTTTGCGCCTGGTTAAATTTTGTTTTTTCGGTCAGCCCGAAAAAAAATAGCCCATGCGTCTTGCGTCTCGTCCAGACGCAGGACGCACCCAGCGTCTTCTGCAACACTTCCAAATTATGCTCCCATCCCATGATTGCTCCTTTATTTGTTAACTATCAAAATTGTGTTTTCTCCCATGCTTTTTCTCTCCTGACCTCCTGTCTTCTTACTCTCCTCTGACTGTTACTCTAAGTGGGTACATACGCGTATAGCGTATATACGCGTATCGTATATACGCTAGCGTTTATACGCTATACGCATAGGTCCCGAAACCCTAGATACGCTATTCGGGCAGGTTTAAAAAAAGTTAGGGCAGCTAAAGTAAGACCCCCCTAATATACTTATGCGGTCAGTTTCCACAGGGGTTGGATTTCCCGGATTTTTTTCCCGACCCAAAATTATTCACCAACAACATTACAATGAGACATACTTATCTCATACTACTAGTACACATACTACAACTCACGCTACTCCAGATCAATTACGCCACCTACTCATACTCATCCTCCAGAATGACGTCGTCCCCCTCCTCCTCCTCCTCGTCCTCCTCCATTGTAGCCCTCGGGCACGGGAGGCTCCAGCATGTTCCCGAGCACCACACCCGGCATGACATCTGCACGGGAATGCCAGTTGCGCACAACGTTCCAGTTGTGCGCAACAAAAACCAAATCCCGGCACTTGGCAGAGCCAAGCCGGTTCCGGCAGGCCGTGTGCACCCCATCCCACGTTGACCATCCCCTCTCACATGGTGAAGCCGACACGGCCTGAGAGAGAGTCCTGATGGCGAGGGCCGCCAGCTTTGGTGCGTCAGTGCCGTGCCACTGCCACCACTTTACCATGTCATACTTGCCCTCCTTGACCAAGTTCCTCTGAGCAATTGCATCCCCCATCCCGAAGCTTCCCTTCATATCCAGAAATGCCCTCACCCCCTCCTGCAGTTCCAGCAAAACCTCGCCAATGTCATCCCCATCATCCCCCTCCTTACCGTGATTGCAGAGGTGCTCGGCGTGCTGAGTGATGAACGCTTTGAATACCTTTGTGCACTCCGCGTCTGAGCCGAATATGTCTTCATCCTGGTTCGCCGGGTTGGGAATCCGGCCTGCAACGTGCATGGGGCAGGCGAGGCTGCCGTCCCACCTGTTCTTCAGCAGGCGGCGGATGTGCACTTTGTCGGAGTAGGAGAGCTGCTCCTCATCCTCCTCCACCACTGTCCCCACATCCTCGGTCAACTGCAACATTGTGTCATACATACGGCCCATCATCCCCTTGGCATCTGCATCGGCCTTACGCATTGCGAAGAACGGGAGCTTCATCAGCTTGCAGAAAAACTCCGCCGTTTTCCACCACGCGTCATCAAGAACTTGCGCTGTAAACTTCTCCGCAGGCTTCTTCCTCTCCCCAACTGCCCTGCCCTTCCACACATCAGACACAACCATCTGTGCAAGCAACTGCCGCAGCTCACAGAGACGGGACACAACAATGTATTGTGTCCCGAATCTTGTTCCAGCCGGTTTCAGCGCCTGCAGCATCCTTGCACCCACCATTTCCGGGTTCCGCAAGTATCCCCTCGTCCAGTGGTGGTTGCGGACGAAGGAGCTGATATCGCCCGCAGGGTCCACCACGTTCTTGGCCCACAGCATCTTGCCGACGTCCTCCATGAAGAGGTCCAACACGTGGGTGCCGCAAGGCACGTGTTGAATGTGCGGCCATTCCGCGATCAACTGGTTGCACGCCACCGCGTAGTTGGACCCACCGTCCGTGCAGAACGCCACCACGTTCTCCGGACTGACCTCCTCCACCACGGGCCTGAGGATGCTGGCGACATAACCGCCGGTTTTGGTCTCCATGCGGCAGTCCACGCTGTCCTTGAACACCGCGCCACTGTCGTTGACGAGAAACACGTTCGCCTGGGGGCGACCGTTCTTATCGGTTATCATATCAGAAGCAACTGTCACGCCGGTCCGCTTCCAGCTCGCCTTCACTCCAGAAAGCCCCCTGTCGATGTTGTCGCAGCACATTCGCAAGCCCGCCCCGTCGATGAACCGCCTGTTTGGTGGGACGTATCCTGTGCCGGCGTCTCTAATGGCACGAACGGCGTTGATGAAGAGAGGGTGCTCCGCGACGCGCTCCGGGATGCGACACCCCGCGAACATGAGCGCCAACGCCTCATGTGCATCGCGCTTCCCAGCTGCCGCATCCGTCTCCAAGTAGTCAGTAATGCGGCTCCTCTTGCCGCTGCTGGTGACCGACGCGATGGCATCCGATGTCGCCTGGTGGCGCTGAGCCGCCGCTGCAGCCTTAGCCTCGTACTTCTTCCGCATGGCAACCCGCGCTTCAGTGGGGGCTTCCTTGCATAGCGCCACTTCGCGGCACTTCATCTTCCTCCAACTCGCCAAGTGCTGCGCGCAGCGGATGGCGGCACCAGAAAAAACATTGCAGCAGTACCTGCACTCGTACTGCTGCGATTTCCCCTCGTCCACCTTTATGAGGCGGAAATGCTTGAACACATCGTGGTCGACATCCGGAAGGTAAACTCGCGCCGCACGATCAGGACTGGCCGTGCCGGTATCAGGAGGGGAAGTGGACTGGGCCGGGTTAACAACTGCAGAAGCCATTCTAAAAATCTCTGTGAAGTAAACAGGAGGATGAATTGACGAGATAGAACAATACCTGCTTGTTAAGTAGCGTGGGATGGATTGGTGGAGAGAAGTTGGATTGGAGGGAGTTTGTAGATCGAGAGCGGTACAAATTGGTGGAACTCCAATGTGAAATGTCAAGGACATCGCGACTCCAAACATTGGAGCCACGTAACCAAACTCACAGTCGCGGCGCCGCGATTTGAAAGCACGGAAACCAACTCACCTACACACATTGAAGCAAAGTCCAGGCCAGGGTAGATCTCGAGCGTGCATTTCGAGCACGACATCTTCTTCGCCGTGAGAAGACGAAACTTTTCAGATATACTAAAAAAAAATCGATTTTGGGCTGCCCCAAAAAAAAACCCCGAGCGTATTGCGTATTCGTTAGCGTATAGCGTTTTGCGTGTATACGCAAGCGGATAAACGCTATACGCTTAAAGGCAAAAGCGTATTTCGCCACTTAGCTGTTACTCACTCCCACTAACATTACCCTTGCTTGCTTGCAGTCCACACAGTGCCATAGAGCTGTGGCTCCACTGCATCACCACCAACTGTCATTTAGCTGACTGCCCCACCGGCTGTGGCCGACGCGCTTGCGCACCCTTCCAACTCGCATCTCCTCTCCCGTCTCATCTCCATGTCTGCCTTTGTTCACTCTCACTCTCCTCACCCTTTCATCCAGTCCACTCGGCGCCCTAGAGCTGTGGCGCCACAGCAGCACCACCGACTGCTACTTGGCTGATAAGGTTGGTGCACCCTTCAACCCTCTCTGTCGGTGGTATGATCTAGAGCTGTGATTGGTGGCCCTAGAGCTGTGATTGGCAGCCCTAGCGATGTGATTGGCGGCCCTAGCGATGTGATTGGCGGCCCTAGCGATGTGATTGGCGGCCCTAGAGCTGTGATTGGCGGCCCTAGCGATGTCATACACACTTCTCCTCTATGGCTCCTCTCGCCTCCCACACCTCTGTCTCTCGTTTGCTGCTTTCCCTTTTGCTGTATAGTCCTCTCGTTGAAGCCCTAATCTGTGCCTGCCGACTAAAGTCGCCTCGGCTCCCTCTCTTGCTTTATTTCGCTTGGAAGTTCAGAAGGCTTCTTGCCTCTAGTTCAGCATCTTGTGGTGCTGTTTGTCCCAGGGAAACACCTGATTCGGGTTGTGTTTGTCGTGCCATTTTTTGTAGATATTCATTCCCTCAATCAAATTTGTTTTGTGCCTCCCTGGCCCCACGTTGTCTATGTCTTTTTGTTGGACCCTCTACTGCAGGCTAGTAACTCTCCTGTTGGTACTACAAAGCATGTACCATCAGACCTTAGGCTTGCTAGTAAGCAGATCCTACGGCCCACATCCTTCTCTCCTTGGCAGTAAGACTCTGTTGTCTTCTATCCAACTCTGGCTGAGAACACCGTCTATTGCAGGCTGGTAACCCTGCGCTTGGTACTACTAAGCACTTTCCATCAGAGCTTAGACTCATTATTAAGCAGATCCTACGGCTCACATCCTTCTCTCCTGGGCAGTAAGACTCTGTTGTCGTCGATCCAACTTACGAGAGAAATACACAGTGAAGCTCAGCTATTAAACTCTTACTGGATGTTAGGTTCCCCCGAGGGTTCACAAGGGGAAAAGAGCGGTTAAATTTGGGAAGAATACTTTTGAGGATGGCTCTACGCAAAAGAGCAGCAAATTGAATGCAATGGTGAAATAAATCGTGGAGCGGGATAAAGCACGGTATAGTAGTGTGGAGATTGTTTCAGGTGTACCACCACTAGTGCACCCGCAAACGAGAACACCTTCTACCGCTGAAACAATCCACCGACACAAACCCCATCCCCAGTGGTTTTGGTCGCATCGATTCCGAGTTTTGCCACATAAGTGGCTTTTGCCGACCACTTCGACAGGGTTCGTGTCGCGCTAGCCACGGCTTTTACCGAGCCTGACTTTGCCGTCAAGGCACGAGGCTCGGTGAAACCATCAAACGAGCTCTGGTGAAATCCTGGCGGCGTCGCGTGGCAGTCATCTGACTGCAGTCACATTGACGGCTTCCAGTCAGCAGAATACCGAACGCGCAGTGACAAGAAAATCGGTCCCCAGTGCAGTCACGGCAGTGACGGCCAAAACTTTTGTCAAGCGGCCAAAACTTTCCCCCCACAACCGAACATTGGTCCTCCTAGTCGAGGTTCCCAGGAAAAAGGGGTCTGATGTGAGGGAGGCGGGCGCGAGGAAGGTCGTAAACTCCGTGAGGAAATGGTCAGCCAAAATGTTTTTCATTGGCTCTATAATTTTTGCGGTAAGTTCGGACGCAGCGCGTCTCTGCTGGACCGTGATGAGCACGAACCACGAACGATCAGGTTGTGGCTGGGTGATGGTTTGTTGCTCCTGGTTCGGTTGATATGCGCTGGTTTGGATTAGGGCTACACAAAACCCACGATTTCGCCGAGAGAAAATTGCTCAGCGCGGATGAACTTCCGCCGTCGCCAGCAACGCACCCGAAGCCGCTCCTTCATCTGCCCCAGCCGCTCGATGCTCACCACCACCGTGCCATGCTGCCCGGCCAGTTCGCCATTCCCCCTCTTGAACTCTTCACACACTGTCCCTTCACATTGAGCCAATTTCGAGTGTAGGGCTTTGGGAGTCGGGACGTCTGATCTGGAGTCTGGTCTGGTGGACTTTCTCAAACCTATCCGTACCCCGTAACCCAGTCTTTTGTCCCAGAAATTGCTCCACCGAACCAAAATCACCTCGACTCAACCAGCTGCACCCCCCACACACCCCCAACCCAATCTCTAGGTTGTCTTTCTGTCTGCTCTGTTCTCCTCCAGTGCCTCCTCCACTACACACACCCGACTCTTCTGTGCTCCCTCCCTATCACATGCAATTATTCTGGCTCGACTCTTCCCGCCCAAGCTTGCGTGCACGCGCACGGACATCATCCCTCCCTCCACGAATCTCGACATCATCATGGCTTCAGATACACGTGTATTTAGTCTCTTCTGCAGCTCGCTGCTTCGCCAGCTTCGATGTCAAACGTGCTCGAAACCTGAAAGCGCGTCGAATTCATTTGTCCATGGTGTTTCGGCTGAGCTGATCTGCTTGCATCACGCCTGCACCCGTAGATGCCCATGCCTTTTTGGATTCGAAGTTCTCACTGCTAAACGACTTTTGGGAAGCTTTTCTATTCCAGCTACAGCATCTCCACGTCTTCGCCGCCGTCTATTTAGTCGCGAACTCTTCTCGAAGAAGCGCGTCTTTCGATAAGCTGCGTATTTATATTACTTCCTCCCTTTTCTTAAAGTGTCCACACCGAAATCTTACGACGATCCGTGTTCCGCGTGTTTTTATGGCTACCCACTTCACGAGCTTAGCAATTATCCTGTCGCGGAAAATCCTGAGACAGATTAAACATCTTGCCGGCCTTCGTTTTTTTATTTTGAGGCTAGTGAACACTACGAGTAATATTTAATCGTGTCCGTACGGCCCGGCATGGCAGAGAGGGACGATAGTGGTCCCACCGAATAAATCACGACTGAGTAAAGACGATCTCAATAAACGCCTTATTTAATAAAGCGACATGGCGAGAAAAGGCGGGCAATTAGTAGGTATTCTCGATGTGCATATCCTTCAGGCGGAGAGACTACCGAATCGGTCCACTCTCGGGGCTCAAGATGTGTACGCCAAGGTGCTGTGCGGTGATCGCGACCCGCTCGGACGAGTCGCACTCACCACGCGGGCGATCAAAGGAGGAGGCACGGACCCAATCTTCGATCAACGGCTGCAGGTAAACCCAGTTTTTGATCGACGGCTACAGGTAGTACGACGGAGTCTTTTAGAATAATAAACTCCGTCTTGCTTCCCTTTTTCCCCCAAACCTTCCCCCCCCCCCCCCCCCCCCCCCCCCCCCCCCCCCCCCCCCCCCTCCCCCTTCCACCTCTTCCCCCTCCCTTGTTTTTCAATCTTTCTTTGCTGCACGATTTTTTCATGTACATGTGTTCTTTTCTTTTTGCCTTCCCATACCTGCCTGCAGGTTGGGATTCCCGAGCGTGCCACCGAGGTTAAATGCGAGGTTTGGTTCGCCAGCCACCACCGAGGCACCACGGAGGACCAGCTGCTCGCGTTTGTGTACATTCCGTTAAGGTATTCAGTGCACGCGTGAATAGATGAGCACGAATTATGAGGATGTTACTATCGTCGTAACAGTTTTTCGTCTTTGAATGGTTCGTGTATCCCCCCCAACTTCCTCGAGTCGCCTCCTCACCTCCCCTCCATATACCTCTCAACCTCTCCTTACTCCTTTCCTTTCCATTCCCTCCTCCCCCTCAACAGAGACGCTTTGGAGAAGCAAGGCGAGCAAGAATTTCCGCTCACGACTGTAGATATCGAGGGGCGCGCTATACCGAGTACAGCCCGAATCTCCATCTCATTCGCCTACCATCCCCGCCCAGGCGTCTCCTCCCCATTCCCCTTCTTCCCCTCCTCCTCCTCCGCCTCCTCTTCCTCCTCCTCCGCCCCCTCCTCCTCGTCCCGCGCAGCTTCCGCGAAACCCGCCAGTATTGCTGGCGGGATGCTTAGCAAAGCGATAGCGGCAGCGTTTTCCAGACGAGCATCGGAAAAGGCAGCAGGTCGGGCAAGTGGGGTAGACGTTGGGCCGGCGGCTCTGAGGGTAGAGGGGCAGCAGATGGTTTTTGAAGCGCCTCAACGATTGGCAGTGAGTGGGGGAACGGAGACAGACCAGCAGCAGCAACCACATGCACGCGAGCAACCACATGCACACGAGCAGCAGCAGCGGGAGGAGCAACAACAGCCACACGCGCACGAGCAACAACAACAGCAAGGGACAACTTTAGTCCCATCCCAGCAGCTGCTAGGCCCTCTCTCGTTCCTTATGGAAAAACAGGGCGTTAAAGACCCAGCCAAGATGGATTTAATTCAGGCGCTAAGGGACGTGGCAGAGGTGGATAGGCTGGTCGGCAGCAGCAGCAGCAAGAGATTGAGGTCCCGATCTGGCCCTCTGAGGATGGGCGATGCTGAGTCAGCAAGCCTTGCTGCTGAGTCAGCAGGCCTTGCTGCTGAGTCAGCAGGCCCTGTTGCTGAATCAGCAGCCACTGCTGGGTCAGCAGGCTCGGACACGTCATCAGCGGTGGAGGCAGTTGCTGCAGGTGGTGCTGCCGCATCTGCTAGTGCAGGTTCGGGGCCCGAGCCTGCTGGCCCAGGGCAACGCAGGCTGAGATACCGAGCCAGGTCTGGGCCTTTGCATGGTTCGGCAGGTGGCTCGGGCGGCCGTGGGACAGGCAGGACGGGAGGTTCGGGAAGGCTGATGAGCAGTAGCGGGGAACTCTGTAAGGAGGCAAAGGGAACGGAGGGCGATAACAGGCAGGAATCCTGGACAGGCGAATTGGGCAAACGGATTGGTGGGTTTGGGGAATGGACTGGTGAAGGGATGGACGAAAGGATTGGTGAAGGGATGGGCGAAAAGATTGGTGAAGGGATGGGCGAAATGATTGGTGAAGGGATGGGCGAAAGGATTGGAGTAACCGGAGGGTGGTCAGGAGGGTCTGGTAGGGGCAGCACTGAGCTTAGTGCTCCGTCTCCTCCTTTTCCTCTCGTTCAGCCCGTGACTGCTGGCACTGCTGCTGCTGGCACTGCTGCTGCTGCTGACCCTCCTCCTCCTCTTGCTTCTGCCGCTGCCACCAGTGCTGCTGCTGGTACCATAGCTGCTGCTGGTGCTGCTGCTGCCGCTGCTACCGGTGCGGCTGCTGTTGCTGCTGCAGGGTCAGCTTTCGTTGGGGAGAGAGACGAGGATATGCCCGAGCTGCTGGCTCAGTGGGAGCAAGAGCAGCAGTATTCGGAGCAGCAGGAGCAGCAGCAACAGCAGCAGCAGCAGCAGCAGCAGACGGAGCAGCAGGCGGAGCAGCAAGGGCTAGGATTGGGGTCAGGGAAAGCGCCTGTGCTGCCGCCTGCTCGCATTCACTGGGGTATGAGGAGGGGCGGCAGTATTGGGAGCAGCAGCAGCAGCGGCAGTGGGTCTGGGAGGGCGAGTGGGGGGCTTTTCTATGCGGGTAGATGGAGCAGCAATTGGCGACTGCAGCCAGAGCAGCAGCAGCAGCAGCAGCAGCAGCAGCAGCAGCAGCAGCAGCAGCAGCAGCTACTGCCGCAGCAGCACCATCCACAGCAGTCAATGCATCAACAGCAGCAGCAGCAGCAGCAGCAGCACGAGTGGGTGCAGGAGAGTGGGACTAGCAGTGTGAGTACATATGGCGCCACCAGTGTCAGTGCCGCTGGGGCCACCAGTTTAAGTTCTTCTGGAGTGCCACTGCCACTGCCACTGCCACTGCCACTGGCACTGCCAGCGCAGGTTGGTACAACAGAGGAGGTATCGTCAACCGCAGTGGGGCGCATGGAAGCTGCAGCGTTGGAAGGGAGAGAGAACGTGGGAAGTGCAAGGACGGAGGGGAGAGAGAGCGTGGGAGGGCAAGGTGTGGGTGGGTTGCTAGCAGGTGACATGCAGCAGCACCTTTCTGAGATGACTCTTAGGGCTTCAGAGGAGGAGGGGCTAGGGATGGAAGGGGAGATGCCTGTTGGGACGGAGGGAAGAGGAGGAGGTGGTGAGGTGGAGTGGAGGATGGAAGAGGAATATCAGTATCAATACCAGCAGCAGCAGTATCAGCAGCAGCAGGAGCAGGAGCAGCAGCCGCAGCAGTATCAGCAGCAGCATGACCAGCAGCAACGGCATTTAGAGCAGCAGCAGTATCATCATCATCATCAGCAGCAGCAGCAGCAGCAGCAGCAGCAACAACCTTTTGAGCAGCAGCAGTACTTCCAGCAGGGGGAACAACAGCAGCATCCCCAGCAGCAGCAGCTGTACCAGCAGGAGCATTACACTCAACATCATGGGGAGTTTGCAGTTTTGCCAGGTCAGGAGCATCAGAGGCAGCAGCAGCAGCAGCACCAACCGCAATTTGGGCGGCTACCAGCGGGCAGCAGGTTAGATGAGCAACAGTCTCACCCACCCCAGCAGCACCCACACCAGCAGCACCCACACCAGCAGCACCCACCCCAACAGTACCTATCTCAGAGGGAGGAGTGTGTGGTGCTACCAGCGGGCAGCAGCTTTGATGAGCTCATGACAGAAGCCAGTGACCCTTTACCTGGTAGAGAGGGATCTGATGTGGTGAGAAGTGGTACCGAGCGGTTTGGTGAGATAAGAGGTCATGTGGAGGGGACGCAGCAGCAGATGCAACAGCAGGTTCAACAGCAGGAGACGTTTCAGCAACATTTGGGTTTCCACTATCCTAATCAACAGCAGCAGCAAGAGCAGCAGTTGCAGTGTCAGGAACAGCAGCAGCACCAAGAGCAGCAGCGACAGCAAGAGTACCAACACCAGCAGCAACAGCAGCAACTGCCAACTCTGTCATTTCAGCAGCAGCAGCAGCAGCGGCAGCGATTTCAACAGCAACGTCAGCACCAGCAACAACAGCAGCAGCCATTTCAGCATCCAGAGCAGCCACAGCAGGGGTTTGAAGTGCAACAGGCACCGCCAGAGCTATGGTATCAGTCACGGCCTGAAGCCACCGAACAACACTCGCAGCAACAACAACAGCAGCCATTTCAGCCGCAACAGCAGCAACAGCAGCAACAACAGCACACATTTCAGTGGCAGCAGCAGCAGCAGCAGCAGCAATTTCAACCACAAGAGACCGTTTACCAACAGCACACACATCAGCAGCAGCACATGCAGCGGCACCACACACAACAGCACACACAGCAACAGCAGCAGCAGCAGCAACAGCCATTGCAGCCACTGCAACCACAGGAGACTATTTATCAACAGCAAAGGCCAGCAGCACTGCAGAGACGGCCATTGGGAGACGTGGTGTCCAATAAGGCTCCGGTTGTAGCGCCGGCTGTAGCACACTCAAGAGGACCAGCTGTAGCAGCGGCGGTGGCAGCAGCAGCAGCAGCAGGCAGAACAGCAGCAGTTGCTGCTGCTGTTGCAGGGTCCGCGCCAGCTGTCGCAATGGGATTGGACGAGGAGGCGTGGAAAAGGGCTGGGATGGTGGAGAGGAGGGAGGTGGAGAGGGAGAGGACGGGCGGTGTGGGAAGGGTGAGGCAGGGTGATGAGCAGCAACAACAGATGTGGCAACAACATCAGCAGCACTACCAACAGCAGCAGCAGCACACACCGATTCAGCAGGGTCTGGCACCTTGGCAGCAGCAACAGCAAGCAGCGCAGCAGCAAGAAATTCAGCAACATCAGCAGAACTACCAACAGCAGCAGCAGTATCAGCCCCAGCCCCAGCAGCAGCAACACGAGGTGGCACAGCCGAAACCACTGCGTCTGGTTCTTCCGAAGTTTCTGAGAAGCAGCAGCAGTAGGCGGGTTCAGGAACCGGGGCAGATTGGGGCAGGCAGGGAAGCGGGAGTGCAGCCCATGCAACCGCCACTGGTGCTACAGCCATCCATGCCACAACCACCCATGCAGCCGCCAGTGTTGACACAAGCAGTGTCGCAACAATCTCTCATGCAGCAAGCATCCATGCAACAACCACCCATGCAACAACCACCCATGCAACAACCATCCATGCAACAACCATCCATGCAACAACCGCCCATGCGACAACCATTTATGCAGCCACCGTCCATGCAACAAATACCCATGCAACAACCACCCATGCAACAAATGCCCATGCAGCCACCATCCATGCAACAACAACCAATGCAGCAAAAACCACCCATGGAACAACCATTGTTGTCACAACCAGCAGTGGACCAATCACATGCACGTGTATTTATTCAGCAGCAGCATCAGCAGCATCAGCAGCATCAGCAGCATCAGCAGCATCAGCAGCAGCAGCAGCAGCAGCAGCATCAGCAGCAGCAGCAGCAGCATCACCAGCAGCAGCAGCAGCTTCAGGAGCCACAGCAGCAGCAGCAGCAGCACGGAGATATGCACTCCCAGAGGGAGTATGGCGAGCATGGTAGGCACATGCATGAGCATGCCATTCCCATGGCCCCTCACAGTGGTCAGCAGTACCACACTCTGCATTATACACCCCCCATGCAGCAACATCCTAGTGACCTGAGCATTACACCATCTTCACAGTTTTCAGTGACACCAATGCAGCAGCAGCAACAGCAGCAGCAGCAACAGCAGCAGCAGCAACAGCAGCAGCAGCAACAGCAGCAGCAGCAACAGCATCAGCAGCAACAGCACCAGCAGCAACAGCACCAGCAGCAACAGCAGCAGCATCAACATACACACCCAGCGATGCATCTGCAATCGTTTCCAGCAGCACCAACAGGAGCAGTGGTCTCAGGAGAAGAATCAACACAAGCGCATGGGTTTGCGGCTGGTGTGACGGTACAAGTGAAGGGCGACTGGAAGGTGTATGACAATCATATGGATAGCATGCATCGAGATGACATGCACGGCCACAGCTGATTTGTCGGCCCAGATTAACGCCTCCTGTAAATATGGGCCTGAAAAATACGCATTTACTGCCCTGTCCGTTATGTTATGATTAATGCACTGTGCTGTTATGTTCTGTGATGCTTCAGTTCAGCGTTGGAGCTGGTACTGGTACTGGTACTGGTGGTTCTTTCTTCCAAACATCATAGCATGGTTGTACATAATATTGGTACAGTTTGACCTTCATTCCCTTCTGTCCAGATCAAACACGTTACTAGATGCGCTCTCGAACAGACTGACGAAGGACCTTATCCAACCAAATGCTTCCACGTTGACAATTCATGAATGCCGAAACACGCCACCTTCATGGCTCATCAGAAGTGCAACTCTGAAATTGCCGCGGCATGAAAGCATCGAACCAGCAACCGCAGTGCCACACAGATGACACAATCCAGACTCGAAGCCTGTGGATGTGGTATGCAAGCCACGTGGCTCTTAGTACATGCACATGACCCCCACTAACCTTCATGAACTGCACATCCAGCCGTCACTCACTCCAGCCCAGTCGAGATCCGACCGTTCGTTAGATTTTCCCGCACCGTCAGCAGGAAAGGTCTGGTTCCAGAATTCATCCTTGTCACCTTGCACGTCAATTTCGAGGTTCTACTATAATTACCTCCTGGTGTCACCCACACAAACCACATTTTCCTAGACTTGAGTTGCGAGAACAAGCGTCAATAATTCAGTGATTACCTTTCGAGTGAGTCTCGTTTCTCAGAGCTCTAAGCGTCACAGCCGTTAGTTCCTGCTCCCTAGTCACACGAATTGCGCGTGCACCGGATTTCTCGTGTCGAATTCTCTTCCCTTTCGGTTCCACAATGGCTGCAACAATCTCGTCTCACTGTCTATCCGGCATCAAATCCACACCCGTCACGAAGCAAACCCAGCTTCAACGTCAGCTCCAAGCAGCTAGCAGGGTCTCGCTAGCTCCCGTCTCCATCTCAGCTCCGCGATTCGCGGCGGGATCTCAGGGACGATGGAGCGCATCCGGCGGCGCGACGATCCGAGCCTTGGCGGTCGACGCGCAGCTCGCAGGAGCGGCAGCGCCGGCGGCGGATCAGACAGAGAGGCCAGTGATGCTCGAAGTTAAGGGCCTGAAAGCCGTTATTGCTGAATCCGGGAAAGAGATTCTCCATGGCGTCGACCTCTGCATTCGCGAAGGCGAGGTGAGATGTCGCGGAATTCTTCTCAAAACTCGATTTCGATGCGTTGCTCGAACCGTTTAACTGCGTCTTAGTTGAAGTTAAACGTAAGACAACATTCCGAGAGTCAAGTCGCACTCAAAATCTTGAACCCTGCTTATCACAAATAAGTTTTGGAATGGGTTCGGCGTGCTTTTGTGTTGCTGTTCCAAGTATCAAAACATCATATTTCAATCTACGCCTCAAAATGTCAGGCAGCGATACTTGAGACTTTCTGAATTCGGGACTGAGTAATTTCTAGATTTTTGTTTACCTTCCTGTCCATGTTAGATTGCCACGTTATACGAATTTCTTCCATCTTCCTTTCCTGACTGTTTCCTGCTCCATGGGAATGCCGTTTCAGGTGCACGCAATCATGGGGAAGAACGGCTCGGGCAAGAGCACTCTCTCCAAGGTGAGACTTCGCCGTTCTAACTGCACTTTAGCATCCGAGAACACCCTCAGGTTCATCTTCAGGTGTATTTTCAGGTGCATTCTCAGGTGTTCCGCTCATGGGGGAGAAGGGCTCGGGGAAGAGCACTCTATCCAACGTAAGAATCCGCCGTAACTGGCGCCCGTATTGTAACAGTAACGTTACTAAGACTTGCCGTTCCCCGCTCAACATCCTCTTACCCCTTGCACGGCACCCCCTTTTTTCAAACCCACGCTCTCCTCCTCCCCCCCCCTCCCCCCTACTTCCTCCCCTTCTCCCCCTCCCTCCTTCCTGAAAAACAAATAAAATCACGGCCGGCACCAGGTGCTGATGGGCCATCCGGACTATTTAGAGGGCCACGGGGCGAATTTATAGGGCCCTCTAAACCTTCTCGACTCTTCCCCCCCCTTCTCCTCCCCCCGTCTCCTCCCTCTCTCGCCACGTCCCTTCAGGAGCTGGTGGTCCATCCGGACGAGGTCACGAGAGGCTCTGTGACCTACCGCGGGGAGGATCGCTGGATCTAAGCCCGAGGAGAGGAGCCTCTCTGATAGAGTGTGCCTCTCCTTGTCCCTTTCTTCTCAACTCCCTCTTTTTGCAGGTGTTGGTGGGCCATCCGGATTATGAGATCACGGGCAGGAGTGTGACCTACCGCGGGGAGGATCTGTTGGAGCTGGAGCCCGAGGAGAGGAGCCACGCTGATGGAGGTGTTCCTCTCCTTCCAGTCCTTCCACCCCACTCATACACCCCTCAACCCACCCCTCGCATACCCCACGCACCCCTCCTCAATCGCAGGTGCTGGTGGGTCACCCAGACTATGAAATCACGGGAGGCACAGTGACCTACCGCGGGGAGGATCTGTTGGAGCTGGAGCCGGAGGAGAGGAGCCACGCGGGCGTGTTCCTCTCCTTCCAGTCGCCCGTGGAGCTGCCCGGAGTGAACAACGTCCCCGTCCCTTCCACCCCTTCCCCCTGACAGGTGCTGGTGGGCCATCCGGATTATGAGATCACAGGCGGCTCTGTGACCTACTGCGGGGAGGACCTCTTG